TCTCATATATATAGGGTGAGGAGTGTACGGCCAGTAGAGATAAATAGGAGAGGAGCATATTGTAGAGAGAGAAACAAGAGAGAAGAAGTGTGTGTGAGAGAATCTATTGTAAGGAATTTCATTCATATCATCAATACAATCAAGATTCATCTTCTTCTTCTTCTCCTCTTCTATTTGATCTGAAATCATCCAATTGATTGGGATTCTGCACCATCAATTGGATCTGATTGATATACAAGCAATTTTGGGGACTTACAACTCTGTTCTCTTGACTCTTGCTTGTATGATCTACGATACGAAGATTCCTCAATTACTCAATATTTTCACCTTCTTTCTCGTATTTGGCTTCAACTTGACCATTTTGAAGTCTATCCATGGAAGTGTGCAGATGATGTGAAGACCTACAAATATATGGTAGAACAAAAGCATACAATACGGTTCCTCCTTGGTCTCAACGAAGAATTTGATGTTGTACGTAGCCGTGTAATGGGATCTCCTCCGTTCCTAACTACCCGAGAAGCTTTTGTTGAGCTTCGTCATGAGGATAGTAGGGAAAATCTAATGATGCCAGATACCAGAGAACAAAATTAACTCTTCTTCATTGTTTACAAACAGCTCCAACTCAAAAAAAAAAAAAAAAAAAAAAAAAAAAAAGGTCAAGGACGGTCATGGTGTGAGCATTGCAAAATTCATGGTCATTGGAAATCCGGTTGTTGGAAACTCCACGAAAAACCAACAGATTGGAAACCATTTAGTGCTCGACTTGATAAAGAAAGTTGTGCACACCAGGCTACCATACCTAAACAAACCAATTAGATATTCAAAACCCCAAAGATCAAATGGAAGTCTTAAAACAAATGATTGGCAACAACACTTCTAGTACAACTATTCCAAACATGTTATCCGAAAAACCATGGATCCTTGACTATGGAGCATCAACTCACATGACCTTCTACTGCAAAAAATATGCCTTCTACTTTAGAAAATCTTCCCTCGGAAGAGAATTTGTCTTTTATTTCTAAAAATCATTCTTCTATTTTAGAAAACCAGTCATCTATTTCCCCTCAACTCAACAACAAGTTTTGTGTCTATACTAGACGAAAACGAAGTATCCAAGTAAATACCGACGTACAAACGAGCATTCATCATGATCCTAAGTCGAACACCACACCGGTATTGAAAGATTTAAGGTAAGGTTGGTGGTTAAAGGCTTCAAAAAATCCTATGGTATTGACTACCTCGAGACTTATGCCCTGTTGCTAAATTGAACTCTATTCGAGTCCTTCTGTCATTAGCAATCAACCGGGAGTGCTTATATCAACTTGACATTAAAAAAACCTTCCTTAATGGTGAAGTTGAAGAAGAAGTTTATATGGAAATACCACCTAGATTTGAAAATTCAGGAAAGAACAAGGTGTGTAAACACCACAATTATTGTACGGACTCAAACAATCTCCTTGTGCGTGGTTTGGGAAGTTAACAAAGGAAGTCACTTCTCAAGGTTATATGTACAGGGACACCTTGTTCATTAAGAAATGTTCACATGGAAAAAATTTATTTGCATTGTCTATATTGAAGACATCATCCTAACAAGAGATGATTCTGAGGAGATAAAAAGGTTGAAATAATTTCTTGCCTCAAAATTTGAAATTAAAGGCCTTGGAAATCTCAAGTACTTCTTAGTCTTGGACGTAGCTCGATCCAAGAAAGGGATTGTCATTTCTCAGCGAAAATATATCCTCAATCTTCTCATTGAAATTGGTTTCTTGGGATGAAAACCTACTCAAACTCCCATGAATCCCTCAAGAACTTCAATGTTAGTGAAGAAAGGTCTCCGGTGAACAAAGAACGATATCAAAGATTCATTGGCAAACTAATCTACCTCTCACATACTCGACCTGATATTGCTTACTCAAATGCTTACTCTGTTAGTATCAACATATGAATGACCCAAATGAAGATCATCTTAAAGATGCTCACAGAATTCTAAGATACCTAAAAATGACTCCAGGAGTTGGTTTGTTATTCAAGAAAAATGACACCATAGACATCAAAGTCTACACGGATGCCAGCTGGGCAGGAAAAGCCACATATCGAAAATCAACTATAGGTTATTGCTCATATGTTGTAACTTGGAGAAGTAAAAAGCAATCGGTAGTTTCTCAAAGCAGTGTTGAATCAATTTGTGAAGGAATGTGGTTGCAAAGACTCCTTGACGACCTTGGTGTTAAAAAATGTGAACCAATTTTGATGTACGTTCAGTGATAGTCAACCTGCTATAAGTATTGCAAAAAATCATGTCTACCATGATCGTACCAAACATATTGAAATTGATCGTCACTTCATCTCTGAGAAAGTTGAACAACGCATTATTCAACTGAACTATATTGCTTCACGATACCAGATTGCGGATATTCTTACCAAGGCGGCTATTCCACAGACTAATTTTGATGAATTAAATTCCAAGGTTGTATTGTTTAACATTTACAACCATGTAAATATTTTATGATATCCTTTTCTGTCAACAGTTGTATTTTAGAATAGATTTAAGGAAATTATTGTGTATTTATTTCTTCCTTACTTAAATAGGATTAGCAAATATCTTTTCCCTGATTTTATGGTTTCCTTTTTCTGGTTTCCATCTTATATATGTACCCTCTTTTTTGGAAAATAAGGTATTCATAAATTCTTCATCATATCTACCATATTTCTACACTTAGGTGCTGTTTGTTTTTTTGAAGCAAAAATCCATAAAATCTGTGGACCACCTTTGCAACCCTCTGCAGTAGAAGAGGTGGATCAAACGGTTGCAGACTGTAATAAGAAGCATGTTTGTTTTTTTAACATCTGCATGCTGCTGCAGATATTAAAAAATTAAATAAACTAATTTTATAATCCGAAAATATTTTTTTAATACCGAAAATTTAATAATGTATGACATTTTGGCAATAATTTATGATATTCAGCAAAAAATAATGATATTTTAACAAAAAATAAAGATATTTTAGCATAAAATAATGATATTTCATCACCAAATTATTATTATTCAATATAAAAAAAAGAAAAAAAATTCAACAAGAATAAACAAAAAAAAATATGAAATAAAATTTCAGCAATATATAATTAATATTTTAGCAAGAAAAAAAAAGAAGAGGTTGGAAGAGGTAGGAAGAGACAAAACAAGTGATGCGCCAAGAAGAACACGTGCAGATGTTTTTTAATCCGAAGACTTCTGAAAAACAAACAGCTGCGAGATGAAAAGTGTTGCACGTGTGCTGCACCGCGCAGCAGTAAGAGGTTTGAAGAGGTTTTTTCCAAAAAACAAACAGCACCTTAGTCTAGTTACTAGCGGAGAAAAAAAGAATTACACATGCATGTATTTAGGGTTAAAGATGAAGTCAATACAAGCAAGAGGTACAAGGTCAGATTGTTGATGGTCAGATTGTTGATGTCATCTTGCTAGCTGGATCCCACATCCGACATACCGGAGGTCAATAAATTGAAGTAGTTATCCAAATGTGAAGGCTAGAAGCACACCTATAGGGAGTCATCTGGGACTCTCAAAAACCATTCACCAAAGACGAATGAAGACAAAGAAGAAAATGTTAAAGTTCCTTATGCCTTAATATATGGAGTTTTATGTATGTTATGATATCGACTAGGCTAGATATTGCTCATGGAGTGCGATCTGTTAACATATTCATGTCAAATCTGAGAAAGGATCATTGAGAACGAGTTAAGTTCTTTTATGCTACATAAAAAGAACTTCTAGGGTAGCCCTATGTTTTAGAAGAAAAGAAGGTAGTCTTGGAAGGTTTTGTTGATGTAGATTTAAGAGGTTGGGTAGATTCATGGAAAAGTAAAACAAGTTTTATGTTCACCATTAGAGGTACAACCATCAGGTGGATGTCCACGTTACATGAGAGTGTTGCTCTTTTAACCACATAAGTTGAGTACATGGCTATAGCATAATATATCAAGAAGCTTTTAAAGATCCTCTGATCTCAGTTAGAAATGGAACAAGAAGACCATTCCCTATATTGTGATGCCCAGATTGCACTTCACTTCGAAAAGAATCAAATGTTTCAAAGCATAATGAAACACATCCAAATAAGGTACCACTTTATATGAGAATTGATAAATAATGGTACAATAAATCTAAAGATAACTCTTAATATGAAGAATCCAACATATATGTTTACCAAGGCGGTGGCTATAGAGAATGTAAAGCTATCTATGGCTTCAACTGGCCTTCAGAGATACTTGAAGATAAGGCACAAACTAAAGATAGAGAGATGGAGGTTATGCAATTCAACTTAGGATGGTAGCAGATTGGTTAATCGGCCTCCAAGTGGAGTTTTTTTGTGTTGTGGAGCCTAATCACCCTTTGACCTCATTGCCACTACAAATACTAAGCATGGGGTTCCGCTCAACAACTCATAGTTGTGGTGCACAATGAGAAAGTTGTGGTGCAAGGGGTAGAAAGCTTGATCCGATGACAACGTTTTTAGGCTTTGCCACACCACTTAATTTTCTTGCCATTAGTTAGAGGGTGTGGTTCGTAGAGTTTTTGAATTGAAAAATAAATAAATAAATAGCCTTTGTGATTGGCTGGTCAAAAAAGAGTCAAAGGAATTAGATGGAAGAGATGCCAAGTTAGGCTGCCGAGGCCAAGGCGTGGTGTGCGCCCAGGCCACTTAGCCTATGCCGAGCTCATTGCCGAACGACTCCCTCTCGCTTAATACACACACAAAATAAAAAAATAAAAAATCAGTGACCAGATAAAGACTAAACTTATAATTTGTGGGGCTAACCCATATAAAAATTAAACATAGATAAGATAAGGACGTCACATAACCGGCTCCTAAAAACATAAAGCATGACTAAAAAAAGGCTTCAACAACTGAATATAACTACTAAGACATATACGATAAGATCAACCTAAAACTTGTGCATACTACAGCTCATTTTATCTAAGATTAATGCCACCACATCCATTTTTAAGACAAGATGTGGAACTCAAGCATAAATATACACAACACAGTTACACATGAAATTTCAGAATAAAGCATTACCTCATCTTTTACCTGAGAACACCATAGCTCCAACTTTGTTAAACCAGCTTTCACATATTCCACGTTGCTCAAGCTACAACACTTTCCATGAAGAAGAAGACTGCAGAGTGAAGATAATTGCAAAAAGAATACTTGATGATAGGAAACCAAGAAAATTATAGGAAAAAAAAAGGAAGTCGAGTAACCGAACACCTATTGAACAGTTGCACATTGATATATGAGAAATTTTGAGAAAATATCTTCTGCACAATTATGGGAGGCACCTGAAATGAAATTAGATGAGAAAATTTAGCAAAATATATCCACCAATTGAAATCCACTTTGATACAATTTTTAAAAGTTTGGTGATGTTTGTATAACCGAATCATTGTATCTATGTTTATCTGTCAACATATGTCTATATTTTTCTGGAAAAAGAACTGTGCCAGGTATAAGAGGTCATGTATAATCCACATACAAAATTGTCTTTCAATATGTGGAGAAGAGAGTTGAGACGATCAACAATGCCTTGCCAGTTACTGAACTGAAAATCTTTGTTAAAGGACTGTACAGGTTTTATCACTCCCTTGGACGTTTGTAGAGTCTGCATTTTGACAAATATAAACCGATATATATGCATCATAGGTAATATGGGAAGTCAATTAAATATAGGAATATGATTGCATGGTTATAAGTGAGGATGTATAGAAAGGTCAACTACCTGAATACTCAAGGCGAGTAATGCTTCCAACTCCTTTTTCAAGTTGTCACAAATAATGCCATACATTTTCTCTACAAATATTGTTAATTTTTGCACGAAAGCATAGGCTGGGTATTTGGCTTCAACTTGTTGTACTACGTTGAGTGCAGCCTCAGCCTCAGAAAGGTCAACAGAAGACACCGACGAATGAAATCCCTAGATATATAAGTAGAAAAGCACATCATGGAACATAAATATATAAGCTGAAAAGACAAAACCAATATAAAAAGATTGAAAACCAATACCATTGGATTTCTTCCAGATAGGGAAGTTCCAGGTGGTTGTCCTGGAACTGAACTTGCACTATGATGTTTTAGACTTTTTTGGACTAAGAATAACAGAGTAGATACATTTGATAACCAAAACGCTATCTGGTTGTTGTTATTTTGACCCTGAAATAAGGTGAACCTTCGTTTCAATTGAAATAATTCAATAAATTAATGTTTTCATTTTTAAACTGTAAGTTGCAAATCAAAAGAATAAATACTAAGAGGACATAAAATAAGGATGATTCAGTTGAGGAAATCTCAATTTAGTTTTAATTTAACTCCATTTACCCAAAGGGGAAAAAATATCCACCCAGAAACACAAACACAAGAGGGCAAATTGACTGAAGATATATATATATATATATATATATATATATATATATATATATATATATATATATATATATGCTTTGTTCACCATTGTCTAAGGAATTACCTCAGTTGCTGAAATAATAATCTGAACAATTTGATCAAATAAGGTTGTTTTTTCTTCTTCAAAATATTTCCAATGGAGAAGGCATTTGTATAGGGTAAATGCTGAAACAGGTTTGCCATGACTGAATCTGTTGTCTTCCATAACACACTCAATAAGGATAGCAACACTATCCTGCAGAGAGATTTAAACTCATATCAACAATATAAATCAAATCCTGTAATAAGAGAAAATAAGGACAAATAAATGATATCTGGAATCAGAATATTTCACATTTAGTTCTAATCCTTTAATTCCCTTAATTTCTTTTAGTAGTTTTTCCTATTCTTGTATTATTTGAATTTCTATGATGAATGATAGTTTTCATTCTTGTATATGAAACTAGATTTCCATAAAAGGACTTACATGAATACCAAATGCTTCCTCAATCCCCATAACGACTGTGTCCATCAGAGGGCGATCTGGTAAACTGAAACTAACGCATTGATAAGCAATTTGTGTAAACTTATCAAAAGAACGACTAGTAATAAAGTCTTTAATATCGGGATCAATTATCTTATGTAGTTCGTTGTGATGGTATCGGCGGACGAAATGCATCAGAGACTGTGGCCTGTCATTTGTTTTTAAATAAACCAACATCCCACTCAGCATTTCAAACATTACCACCCCAAACGAGTACACATCTGATTCTTTACGGAGGATGGCACTTTCATGGTAAGTGGGATCCAAGTAAAACAGGGTACCCGCAGCTTTTGTGTAAATTTGGGTTTCTGATTGATTCCTTGGACCAACTCTTGACAAGCCGAAATCACAGATTTTTGCAACAAAATTGTCGTCTAGCAATATGTTAGCACTCTTGACGTCTCTGTGTATTACTCTGTTGTCCTCCCCAAGACCCGAGTGAAGATAACTAAGTCCTCTTGCTGCCCCTATGCAAATCTTCAGGCGTTGCATCCATGATAATCGATGCATCTTCTTCGGGTCTTGGAGATGATGATCAAGGCTTCCATTGTAGGCATATTCATAGACAATAATCATCTCTTTCCCTTCATCACAGTAACCGATGAAGGAGATGATGTTTTCATGATGGAATCTGGAAATCATCTTAACCTCATTACGGAACTCATGCTCTCCTTGGTAGCTATCCTTATCTAGGCGTTTGATAGCAGCTGTGCGGTTTTGCCAACGCTCTGAGAGTTCTCCTCTATAGACCTTTCCAAATCCACCACCTCCAATACATCCTTTTGGACTGAAGTTTTTTGTGGCTTGGATGATCTCTTTCAGTGGGATTAGAAAACTTTTAAGGTTAAGACCTGAAAAAGACATTTGAACCTATCATGAGATTCAGATTGAACTACTATATAACTTGTTGGTAATGTATTTTACAACTATTCAGAAAAATTATCCTTACCTATTGATAGGTAGATTCTACATACAGTCTAATCTCATGTTTTTTCTTCATTTGGGTTTCATTTTTAAATAGTTTTCCACCATTTACATTTTCATTTTCTGCCCAGATTAATTAACAGAAAAAAAATAAATACAGAATTTTTAAGCGTTTATTCATTAATAAATTGTTGGTGATTTCTTAGATAATAGACAAATTTAGTTACGCAGTATGGCAATGCTATTTAAATTTCTCTAAATTTAATTATGACTTGCTATGTTATTTTATTATATTTTTTAAATTTTGTTTTTTTTATACTGTCTCAAGCTTAAGCCTCGTGTGGCAAAGGGAAAACGCTTCCAGGCACGGTTCCATATTTTTACCTTGTCCATGAGAAATGTTTATGTAACCACTTAGATGACTTATAAACATTAGCAACAAAATGTTTAAAAAAAAGTGGTACCTTCTTCATTCATTGCCCCTTGAGTAATAAGAGAATTCACATGGCTAGTTGTTGTATCATGAGATGCATCACTGTTCTTGAGTTGAGGTAGCATTTCTACAAGATTCTGATATTGTTCTGTGGATATGTTTGGAGTGGATACAATATTCTGAATACTTGATTTCACATCATCTTGCTTGCTTTTAGTAAACTTAAAATTGGCTGGGAATCCAATCAAAAGATAGCATTGGGCTTTTGAATGTCCATTTTTCTTGCATTGATTGCATGCAAGAGGCTTCTTATTTTGAATGATTGAACTTGCAACAGACATGTTCATAGTAACAACTTCATTGGTGAAACTTGAAGGTAAATTGATGTTCAGTTGTTGTTCTTCTTGAATGATCATTGAATATGCAGTAGCGACAGAAGGCAAGGGCTTCATCATCAAAATTTGACCTCTTATGACTTTGTAAGAGTCATTCAGTCCCATTAGAAGCTGAATTAGCCTTTGATCTTCGAGAAACTTATGGATTCCTGCAGCAGTTCCACAAGAACATGCAGGCAAACCTTGAACAATTCGCAATTCGTCCCACATTTTTGTTAATTTTGTGAAGTAAGAAGAAAAATCATCAGAATTTTGTGATAAGGAGTAAAGTTGTTGATGAATATGATAGATCAGTGCTCCATCATATTGCTCATAGCGCTGATTGAGTTCTTGCCATATCTCATGTGCAGATTGTAACATAAGCACACTGTCGGCAATATTCTTGCTTAATGAATTGAGAATCCAACTTATTACCATAGAATTAACTCGATTCCAAGAAGAATAAGATGGTGAAGTAACAAGTGGCTGAGCTATTGTACCGTCGACAAGTCCGAACTTGTTCTTGGCCAAGAGAAAAATACTTATTGATCTCTTCCACGCAGAGAAGCCGATTCCATTGAAAACATTTGATACAAGAACTAGATTTGGATTATCAGACGATCCAAGAAATAGGGGATTTGATGAGTTGAAGACATCTGGATTGTCAACGGATTGAGACATATTGATGTGAAATCAATATGTTAGAAAGAAACTGAAGCGGAATTATCAATCAAACAAGAAGATCAGATAAAAAATGGTGACAGAAAATGAATCGGAACTCGCTCTAATGTTGAAGTTCGAATTTTGAGAGCAAATAGAGAAAAGAGATTTGGAGATCTTTTTGTTGCTTACCAAAGTACACGGAGAGAAGTCAGCTATATTGAGTGAAAATAAGATAATTGGGGATTTTTTACTAGCGCATTGTTTATGTTTTCCATTTATCTCCCTATTTTATTATTTTAATAAAACAATAGTTTTATTCTTTTGGCGTTTTATTCATGTATTATTTTATTAGACATTTTAATTAATATATATTTTATTCTTCTTTTCTCATGTGTTATTATATTATATCAACTAATTAATATTTTCCACTTGTCAGATTATTAATTTCAAATTTTAAATTTTAAATTTTTTCATTCTATCTATATTAAATTAATAACATTAAAATAAAATTAATACAAATTATAAAGTGATATAATTTCATATATTTATTTAAATCAATAATTATAATTTAATATAACTAAAAAAATCTTTTAATTAATAATTTATTTAAAATAATTGATTAATAACTTTGAATTTTTACTATAAAAGTTTAATTAATTTTGTAACTCTAATTCCCACGGATAATAAACTAGTTATCAATATACAACTATAAAATACGACATTTAAATTTAAAAAAATATATAGTTAACCCATGAAGAAATGCAGCAAAAATAAGATATTTCAGTCTAAAATGTATGTATGAATATTCACCACAAAAAGTCAATGGTGGCTGTTGGAAACTTAACTACGGCATTCAATTTAAATTAATAGTGACGGTTGTTATTTGACATCAAATATTTTACAGAAAGTCAACGCACGGACTTCATATACCTTCTTTTATTTAGTATTAGGTTACAACTTTTCGAAACCACAGATAAAAAATTTATAAATTTTATTAAACTAATAAAATTTAAGTTATTTTGTTTAAACTTTTGTGTCGATTATTTAAAATAAATATATAGTTTTATCTGAATATCCGTTATGTGCTCAACAAATATAATTTTTATTCAAAAGATCTTTCATATAATATAGCTTTTTTAATTAATATAAGAAACCCATCATCCAAACTATGTGACATATGTAATTTCACTTAATCTAACTCTTGCATGCATCTTATTTGCACACAGGGATCCACACAAATGATAAACTTAGTAAAGATAAATCTAAAGCAAAATAAATACAACTCTTTGAAAATAAATACACAAATGATAGACTTGGTAAAGATAAATTTAATGCAAAATAATTCTATAATTCTATGATTTATCTTTTTTAAGGTATATAAAATTGTCACGTCATTTAAAAACGTCATGACTCGTCAACGCTCGTCATGCTTTATACTTGACCTTGCCACCAGACACACATCTCACCTTATTTAGAATCTTGATAATTAGGCAATGTATTCACTCAAATGTGAACGGATGTGCCACATTCATTCTATTGGAGTAATTGTTAGTTTAGGAAATTCATATATTCATATATTATTTACTATTACCACAAGTAATAGTGGTTGGTTTATTAAAAAATAAACTTTAACAACCTAATGCCCGTGTTAGTTTATTAACCCTTTTTATTTAACAACTTTAAGCATGTCCATAAATTCTTGTGGTGCAGCAGTGTTCCGACTACTATATAATCAAGTCTAACTCATAATTGTCATGCCATAGTAGCTGTTCAAAAAAAAATTGGCATGCCATAGTTCGCTGAATAAATAATCAACGTAAAAGTTTGTGTGTAATAGAAATCCAATGCGATTAAATTGCAAGTTTCAAAAGCTAGATCGAAAATACTTCTAGCCACTATCCAGCATCAGTTTTTTTAATAATAAAAAATGAAAATTGAATGATCAAATAATTTTGGAATATGTTAAAACACCTAGGATTCAGAACATAATCACAAGGGATAATGACTTAAAAGGGTAATATATTTTTCGATTTGTACACATTTGGTCACTGAGTTTTTTTTCGTCCACATTTACCCCTTCAACTTGTTAAATTGTATACATTCAGTGCTTATGACCGGCTACTCCAGGTTACCCGGTAAAAATGACTTAATAGGATAATATATTTCTCACTTTGTACACATTTAGTCCTTAATATTTTTGTAATAAGTCATTTTTTTTGTACTTATGAATGTTTTTTTAGTTTTTTCTTACGAAATCTTACGTGGGACATTCATTAATGAGGTGTATGGGGCTTTTGATGCTTATATCTATCGCGATCTCGACTACTTGGTTGCTTAGGTCATGTGTTCTGTTCTGAACGTCATAAATTCTTCATATGATCTCAGATTTTAATGATCTTTATATCCATGCGTTCGTATTTTAGTCTACTACAACTTTCATTTAGATTACTCCCATTAAAAAATAATATATTTTTACCAAGGTTGTAAAAATCGCTCGACGGTAGCTTGACGGTCGACTGGTGTTAAGGGATTAATCGGTCTTGGCGGGGATTAATCGGGGAGCATAGATTATTAATAAAATATTAAAATTAATCAAATATCAATATATCTTAAGAAAAACAAGTACTTCAAAATTCGAAAATAAGAAAATTTGTAATTTGAAAATTTGAAAATTTAAAAATACGGAAATATGAACAGTTTGGTATAATATTTGAAATTTTGAAAATTTTAAAAATTTTACGGCCCATGGACCACTATTGTAGCTTGACGGCCTATGGAAGTGTTTGTGGCATCAAATCACCCCTATATGTAGTTTACGGCCCATGGACCACTATTCCATGTGTTTACGGCCGTAAACACATATGATCTATGGTCTTTTGATGTTTTCAAGTCCTTAACATATCAATGAAGGGATCTATGCTAGTTACCAAGGCTTAGGATAGGCTAGGGCACACATTGGTACCCTTTTTAGGGTTTACGGTCCAAGAACATCTTGGACCATAAACACCTTGATCTTGGTGTTTCTTGGGTGATTTCTTGATATATGGATATATAACAAGCTCTATGATACTCTAGGATAGAAGTACTTACAAGATAGAAGCTTGAAATGAGCCAAAAGTCCAAGAACACTGGTGTGTGTTCTTGGTGTTCTTGGTGAAACTTGAAGATCTAGCCTTTTGGAACATTTTTACGGATGGAAGTGTGTTAAAACACTATATTAAGTGATATCTCAACTTAAAAGGGTTAGAAACACTTACAATATTGAAGATCAAGAAGAATTGTTGGATGATACTTGAGAGAGAAATGGGTTTAGATCTTGAAAAGTGAAAAAGTGATTTAAATGGCTAAGTGCCATATATTTACTCTTGGGGTTTACGGCCGTAAACACCCAGTTTAGGCCGTAAACTCCAAACTCTTGGAGTTTCGGGACTTTATTGTTGCACAATAAACCCTAGGGCATCCTCTCTCCTGATATCTCCTAAAGTGTTAATCCTAAAATACTCAAACTTATTCCAAAAAGCTTGAAAATTAGCAGCAACAGTTCTGACCTCTATTGAATTGAATGTTGTACAGAATAGAAATTCCGGGTTGTCACAACTAGTTATAACACGGCGAAACCATGAAAAAAATATGTAAACAAATAAAATTAGGAACTATAAAAAAATGTATTGTATTCTTGATTGTAAGTAATCGTTAATTAATTTGATAAGTAAAATAACAATAATATTTTAATGTGTTTCTTACGGTAAGTCTTATTATTTTGAAAAAAATTTAATAAATTTTTCATTTTTTTTAACAGAAAAATCCCGATTATTTAACATTTTTAATAGAAAAACCCCAAAAAACGGCTAATTTATTTACTTTAGCCATTTTTGACATTTCAGTAGATCATTGATCAAATCGTTAATTTTTCCAAAATAATATGAATTTTCTACAGATTTTCTCAAAATTTATATTTAATGTATAAACGTATTTTTTACATATTTAGCTATTATATATATATATATATATATATATATATATATATATATATATATATATATATATATTTGAGAAATCAAACATTCTCCTACCTTTTCTTTCTATTCATATTCCTACTCATTAGATCAATGAAAGTGTTAAAACCAAAAGAGGAGATTAAGAGAGAGAATTAGTGGATTTCACATGTCAATATCTAATATGAATAGGAATATAAGTAGGAACAAATGGTATATATATATATATATATATATATATATATATATATATATATATATATATATAGAGAGAGAGAGAGAGAGAGAGAGTTAGTTTCAAATGTTTCTACTATCTATTGTGTGCATGTAAGATTGATTGTTGACCAATCATTTTAGTTATTTAAAGAAAGTAATTAATACGTATTAAATGCTGAAAATTTAATTAATACTTATTATATCTTCAACATTTAATATGTATTAATTATTTTGTTAAAATAACTAAAATGGTTGGTCCACAATCAATACTACATGCACACAATATATATATATATATATATATATATATATATATATATATATATATATATATATATATGATTAGGTTATTGTGTTTTTGATAAGTATTGTGTGCATGTATTGTTGATTATGGACCAATCATTTTAGTTATTTTAAGTAAGTGATTAATAAATATTATTAAATTAAAGATAACACAAAAATATCATCTAAATTCATTATAAGGGTATTTTAGTCAATTGGGACAAATTTAATAAAGAAAAATTCGAGATTTAGGGGATAATTAATGTTCTTGATTTAAAAAATATGATTTCTTTTAAATTAATTCAATTTCAAACATATTTTTTAAGCATAAACCGATTTTATTATATCAGAATGTTATTTTGTTAGAATGATGTTGTATAATTTTGTCAGAATGATATTCTATTAATTCAGACATTCTAAAAGAATGTGTTCATAATTATCTTGAAAAAACATTATATTCTAACAGAATACTATAAACATATATTATCATGACCAATAATTTTTAATGAATACAAATTTTATATGAGATGAATTTTAATAGTTTAGAATAAGTAATTACATTCATTCTTAAAGAATACAACTATAAACATAAATTACATTCATTCTTGAAATCTCTTGCAAAAAAATATCGTC